AATTTCACTGCTTGTAATTGGTCTGTTTAGTTGTTCTTTTCTTCTTTATCCAGCTTGGGATGATTGTAGAGTGGCAGGAATTTGTCCATCTCTTCTAGATTGTTGAACTTGCTTGCTTATAGCTATTCATAGTATTCTCTAATTATTCTCTTGATTTCTGCTGTATCTGTGCTTTCTCCTGTTTTTTTTCTTATGAGCCTATCTAGGGAGGTTGTCTATTTTGTTTACTTTTTCAAAGAACCACCATTTGATTTCATTGATTTTTTTGGGTTGTTTTCCTAACTTCTATTTCATTTATTTCTGCTTTGACTTTTATTATTTCTTGTCTTCTACTGACTTTTGGGTTACTCTGTTGCTCTTTTCCCAGTTCTTTAAGGTAGGAGATTAGTTTGTTTCTTTGAGCTCTTTCTTTATGTGAGCCTGTATTGCTATATATTTCCCTATTTTAACTGCTTTTAATGTGGCCCATAAATTTTGTACAGTTGTGTCCTCGTTGTCGTTCTTCTTAAGGTATTTTTTAATCTCCTCCTTGATCTCCTCATTGATCCAATGGTCCTCCAGGAGTATGGGTTTCAATTTCCACGAGTCAAGTGGGTTTCTTGCCTTCTTCACATGGTTAATTTCTAGTTTGATTCTTTCACGGTCGGAGAAAATAGTTATGATTTCAGTCTTAGTGTATCTGGTGCTATTTGACTTGTGATCCAGTATGTGGTCAATTCTTAAGAATTTGAGAAAAAAGTGTACTCAGATTTGGGGGGAAGGGAGTGTGGTGACCTAGACCCATGAGATCTAGGTCCTTGTTTAAAGCTTTAGTTTCCTTGCTTATTTTTGGTCTTGTTGATGTCTCCATTGTTGAGAATGGCATATTGAAGTCTCCTACGATGTACGTATTTTCTCTAAAATACATTTTCAAAGATGACAGTAGTTTGCTAATATATTTTGGTGCTCCTTCATTTGGTGCGTATATGTTGATGGTTGTTATGTCTTCTTTTTGTGTTGTCCCCTTAATCATAATGTAGTGGCCTTCTGTGTCTCTTTTAACCTTTTTTAGTTTGTAGTCTATTTGATCTGATATAACTGTTCCTGCCTTCTTTTTTGGTCCATTTGCTTGTAGGATTGTTTTCCATCCCTGTATTTTCAGTCTGTTTTTATCTTTTGTAGTTAGATGTGTTTCCTGGAGAAAGCAGAAGGTTGGTTGTTTTTTAATCCAGCCTGCCACTCTGTGTCTCTTATAGTTGAGTTTAAACCATTTACATTTAGAGTTAATAGATACATTGGCACCTATAGTTGCCATTTTGTTTTTCTTTTTGTGTTTTTATTCCTTGTTTTGATTTGTTCTATTCATCCCTCTGTTGGTTTTGGCTTAAGGAACTCTTATAGTATTTTCGGAGTGGGGGTTTCATCGTGACAAAGTTGTGGAGTTTCTGTTTTGTCTGAGAAAGTCCTCATTCTTTCTCCATAGAGGAAGGAGAGCGTTGCAGGATAAACTATTCTTGGTTGGTATTTGATGTCTTGGAGTTTGTTGACTATGTCCCTTCACTCTCTTGCCCTTAGTGTTTCTTTGAAGAGGTCTGATTCAGCCTGATTGGATTTCCTTTGTGGGTTGTTTCTTCCGTCTTGTCACTCTCATTATTTTTTCCTTGTCTTGGATACTTGGTTATTTTACTATACTGTGTCTTGCTGTATTTCTCTTATTATCATGATTGTTTGGTGTTCTTGCTTCTTGTATGTCTTTCATCTCCTTTTGTATCAGGGAAGTTCTCTTTAATTATCTCTGTGAATATTTTCTCAATTCCTTGGCTTTTCTACTCACCTTCTGGAAGAACTATAACTCTGATATTTCCTTCCCTCATGGTGTCAGTTCTCGGAGTGTTTTCTTCATTACTTTTCCTTTTTACTTCTTTCTTTTTCTGTTTTTGTTTCTCTTTATTTCTGTATCTTTGAAGGTGTTGATTGTTCATTCTTCCATTTCATCTATTCTTTATCTACTCTAGTAGTCTTTTATCTCCTCAGCATTCTTTATCTCTTCTAGTATAATTTTTAATCTCCTGCATACCTTTGATTTCTTTTTAAATTTTGAAATAACAAGTAACAAGTAAATCAGTGTTTTAAATCATTTTAATTTCTTATGATCTAACTTTACTGATACTTATTTTTTACTTATTTTTATTTCACTTTTTT